TTTTTTTTTCCAGTTGTTTCAAGTAGAAGGGTACAATGCCTTTGACTCCATCTTAGATAGAAGCAGAAGTCCTTTCTGCTTATTTGAATTTTAAAAATCTTTAAAGATTCAAACAAAGTCCACTCCTTGATGTTTTAAAAACAGGTTTCAATTGAGAATGGATTTTTTTTAAACTTCTTTTTTATTTCTTCTTGGATTGTGTTATTGACTATCTTTTATGATCAAACATTTTCCCCCACTCATGGAATATAAATTTTTCTCCCCCAGGCAGTAAATTAATATTGATACATTACTTCATTTGAGTTTCAGATTTCATCCACATTTTTCTAGTTCCATTGAGTCTTTTATTGCAAACATATCTAGAGTAAAACTGTGTGTGGTATTCAGTTCTCTGACTCTTTCAATCTAAATACTTCTTCAGTCTTTCTTTCACTTTAACTACTAAAACTTTTGAATATACTGGCCAATTGTTTCATAAAACCTTTTTCAGTTTCATTTTGTCTGATGTTTTTCATGATTATTTTCAGAGTCTGTATCTTTGGCAGAATATCATATGGGTGTTCCTACCTGCACCCAGTCAGTTGGCATGTGATTGTAATTTGTATCATCACTGGTGTCTTCTTAGAGCACTTAATTCTGGTGGTGGTTTCTGATTTCTTCACTGGAAAGTTATTTTTTCTTTTTATAATTAGTAAGCATTTTGTTGGGAAGCACCTTGAAACCATGTAAATGTATGTTCTTTATCAAAATTTTTATTTATTTATTTATATTCTTGGATCCCTATTTTATTTAATGGATAATATTCCCAAATTTATTGATGTGCTGGATTTGTTCAGTGGGAGTCCCTTCAAGCTGGACATGTTTTTGTTGTTCTTTTGCTTTAATTTTTTGAGCACTTTCTAGCACAAGTATTTAATGCTGCCTTTTTTTTTTTTTTTTAAACAGAGCTTCAAGCTGTTGCCTTCGGTAGAGTGCTGTTGCTTAAGCAATTCTCTGGCCTGAGCCTTCCAAGTAGCTGGGACTACAGGCACCTGCCACAATGCCTGGCTATTTTTTGGTTGTAGTTGTCATTGTTGTTTAGCAGGCTCGGGCTGGGTTCGAACCCATCAGCTCTGGTGTATGTGGCTGGCGCCTTAGCCGCTTAAGCTACAGGTGCCGAGCCTTGATGCTGCCTTTTTGCACAGATGCCTTTTTTGTTCAGCCTGGCTCTGATACCATCTCTCCAGCTTGGCATTCTTCCCCCCTCTTGGGATCCAGCACCGTTTGCAAGGCTGAATGCCTACATAGATGCTTTCCTCATCCTTCTCGGATCCCCGATGATTTTCCTTCCCTATGTGGATGCCCTTCTCACACATCTTAGACTTCAGCACCCTATGCCAGGTTGCCTGCGTGGGTTCTGCAGTGCACTGCCTCCTTCCCTGTGCCATCTCCCTCTCTCTCTGCTCAGGTTCCAGCACTGTCTCCTTATGCACATGCTTCTGGAGCTTCTGGCCCTTGTGCCATGCCTTTGCCACCATCTCCCTCTCAAGTAGCTACACTCCTTACCCTCTCAGGCTCTGACGTCCTGCTCAGGGCTGTTGCAGACCCTCCCTTCACCAATTTGCCTCATACCCGACGAGGATACCTACCTTTGCTCAGCTCTTCTTAAATATTTTGAACTCAGTTCAAAAGGAAAGAAGATGTACAACTGTTTGACATTAGGGAACAAATGAACTACTTGGTTTTCTGGGTACAGTATATCCTCATTTGTTACTTAATGACTCCCTTTTGGAGAGTAGGGAGGGAGGGTCACTTAAGTCTTTCCATTAAACTACAAATGACATTTAATAAAGAATTAAGAACTAGAACTGTAAATTCTAAATGTCTTCCTGCTAAACTTTAAGATATCTGATAGAATATCATAAATACTATTTTCATAATCTAATTATTTTCAGTCACTTAATCTTCCTTTTTCCACAGTATTTAAAAACAATACAGTAGGCCTGGCATAGTGGCTCACGCCTGTAATCCTAGCACTCTGGGAGGCTGAGGCATGTGCATTGCTTGTGCTCAGGAGTTTGAAACCAGCCTGAGCAAGAGCAAGACCCTGTCTCTAAAAAAAATAGCTGGGCATTTTGGTGGGCACCTGTAGTCCTGGCTACTCAGGAGGCTGAGGCAGAGAACTGCTTTGAGCCCAAGAGTTTGGGATTGCTGTGAGCTATGCAACCATGGCATTCTACCGAGGGTGACAAAGTGAGATTCTGTCTTTAAATAAATAAAAAGAATACAATATAGATTTATAAAAAAATTGATGTATTATACATCTTATGTATAGAATGTGAAATTTCTAGTAATTCAACCATGTATATATACCCTGTTAACCATTAGTGTATATCTATTGAAAAATTTTCTATGACTGTAGTATCCCTTCTCCTTTTTATATTATAGATAATGTTCTCTAACTTTTTTTCCCCATTTAATAGTTACGTTGTAGCTTTTATTCCATGTTAATACACATAAATGAAATTCTTTTTTTTATGGTTTTTATAACTTCGCAGTATTTTGTTTTTGGTGGACATATCCTATATCATACTTTATGGAATCAATCTAATGTTAGATATGTAGGTTTAAAATTATTTTTTCTAATATAATTAAGATAAAATAGCTACATACATCCACACACACACACACACACACACACA